AGTAGACTCCTACTCACGAATGGGTCTCGAAGTTGACAGAACTGTACGGTTCTTCGCTTAAGCATTTTTCTTCGTATTCTTTCATTAGACAGGAACCAGGGCTTCCGATTTTGTGTTTATTATTGAACCCAATAAATATCCACAAAACAGTACAAAGAATTTCATTCTTCAGCACATTCGCCCAGTGGAAGACCAACCCATTGACCAGATTCGCAGGTCGCATTGGTTCTACCTGAAAATGTTCCTTAGTTGTCATACCATACAAAAACAAGCATGAAATCCCAAAAAGATGATTAAAGCAGTCTCTGAAAGGCACAGCTCCCAGCGGAACCTGCAGCAAGAAATCGTGCACTCACAAAAATAAAAACAAACCATTTATGGTGAGTTCAGAATGACATGAAAGCGTCGCCACTGTACCCTCTTCAAGCGGAGACGTCGGTCGAACTTGAACTGTGTTACCGGAAGTGTATATCAGACGTGCTCGTGGGCTGTCCTTCATTGGAGGACAAGAAGAGTCTGAACAAGAGAGACTTCTTAATGTTTTTTTTGGGAAACTTGGAGTAAAAAAAGACTTCTTACAGCTTTCTCTGACAACCATTACTACTACAAGCGCGAAGATAATCACTCTGCCCATGATTGTGTCACCTGAAAACAATGGATCAGCATTATTCTCACAGTGATTCCAAGACTGCAGCCTCAGGTCACGTGTTGAAAAAGGAGAGTAGCTACAGAAATTCGTTCATACCCACAGGAGAGGGGGATGTAGCTAGGTCAGTGACGCTTTTGGATACTTAAATACCCCATGAACAGCAGTTGGCATCTTGGGCATTTGAGTATTGGTTCGGCCCAGAATGACAGACATTTTTTCTAAGTTGAAATTTTGCGTTAAAGATCTGCAGTTTACCTAATCATTCCCAGACTGTCTGCTAGAGAATCCTCGCAACTTAATTTTTGGGTGCCTGAAGTTGATTTAAAGTCAACGAAGTTCAGCATTTTCGATAATCTCTCCTTTTTATGATAAAATAAATGCTGAATCCGCAGACGGCTATGTGGTACACTCGAAATCCCTGAGATGAGGTAGGCGTGGCTGCGTACTTCAACTAAACGTCGTGGTTGTGTGCTTTGGAGAGATATTTTCATTTTGACCCAAATGTGGTCACGTCTCTGTCCAACAAAGAACAAGATGGCGGTTGTCTCAAATTGAAATATCCACGAGTAACCAGTTCTGTGCCATGTTCGAATGCCACGCCTACCCCGTCTCAGGGATAAGGTGTATAAGTATATGAATGAGAGCGATGTCCCTTAGGAAGTCAGGAAGCGGTTTAGACGATTCGGAAAATTCGTTAGGCGTCACAAACAAGCACAAGAACGGATACCTTTAGTGCTCGATTGAGAGCTTACTGGATCAGTTTTTCAGGAGGTCCATAGCATACCAAAGAGTGGTAAGCTGGAATCATGGAATACTTCCACGTAGTCATCGAGCATCACCGGTAATTAGAGAGGTTCAAATCTTGGTGGACAGGCTCTTCAGGCAGTCGCTCCTTGAAGGCACGGCTTGAAATATGGAGTCGGGAGGCCAATGTGGTCCACGGCGAGCAACCTTGTACCAGTTTCATGGCAAAAGTTGTAAGGGAGAGGAGCTATAGCGCAATACAGGTTCAGTGATGCCTCCTTTTTCCAGTGACTCCGCCTCCAGATTCCAGCCTTCAAGGTCCACCTATCAGGGTAAAACGAAAAAACGTGAAAAAGCGTCACTTGTACGGTAAGAAAGAGTTCTTATTGGGGAATCAGCTGTGCGGATGAGGGCGTAGTGTTGAAGATGGAGTTCAACTGGGCACGTACAAATTGGGATCGAAATGGGGTTCTATCTAGGGCAGTTGGCATGTTTTTTTTCTGCTTTTTCTTCACTATCGAATTAGTCTGCACTTTGTCTTTAATGGTGATGGCGAATGATCGCGTTTTGCCTTGAAAGGCAAAATTTTGCCTTTGACGGCCCTCACAATTTTCTGCCGCGAAACCGGTGCAAGGTAATTCGTCGCGGAACACACTGCCCTCCGGATGCCATAAGAGGCGTGCCCCATGCGGTGCACACTAACGAGATCCAAAGGCCCATCCCTTAATCGCTTTTACTAACTTCGATCATTCAAGCAGAAGCACTGTTTCTTGGCGTTATACATCACAAGTTTTGAACTACATCTGCATTTTGACAGGCAAGATTAACTGCAAAAAGCTCATGCCAAAAACTCTCTTTTGCGACGATCCGACTTTTCATTTTGATGAAACAAAAACCAATAAAAACCAAGAATGAATAGGGAAACCAAGCAACTATGTATGTATCTACAAGGGAGGTCTTTCAGGTCGTGGCGCGCTTTTTGGAAATGGTTTGTTGGGGTCCATACAAGGATCACAAAAATGGGTTTCATTTTTGCTATGCGTTTCTGGGTAGGTCAAAAACTGAGTGAAAAGAATTTGACAAGAATGGGCGGTTTTAACAACCTTAATGGGCTCCTTTCTGCTTGTAACTTCGAGCATAGTTTATGAGGTGGTCACTAGGTACAAGTCAAAATGTAAGTATCATGTGGTAACACACTTGGCATGCACCGACGCAAGAGTGATGTTTTTGTCAGCGCTCCCTTCATGACCATTGCTGGCGGATCGGATGGCGTAGCGGATAGCACGATGGATTCTGGATGGCACGACAATGCGGGATCCTCATTGCGGCAACAGTTTTGCATCTGTATCAACGCAACGAGACGAGAACATTTCCGGAAACAAGGTTCTCCACACAACTGTGCTGGTTTGTAAGGTGTCATCCAGGAAAGGCCAACAGGACAACCTGGCCATTTGCAGTGAGTGCATATCATTGTACTCGTCTTGACACAGTGAACTCGAAACTACCTTCAAAATTTGCGGAACGATTCTCTGAGCGGAGTTATGGAGGTTTTCCTTCGCTGTTTTTCT